GGGTGTCCCCCTGATACCGTGCGATATATATTGCAACCTTTTTATCAAAAACGTAACTTAAGTATTTTCAACGTTTTCTTTTCAAAAATGTGTCCCCTACTTTCTTTAAGTTTCCTCCCGAACAGTAAAAAAGACAGCTCTGTATGACTGGGTTCCCATACTTAGATCGATCCATCTGGATCGACCTAACTCCCTGCTAACAGTATAGTGAGTCTCACTAGAGTGCTGTCAGCTTAACCGGCTTAAATGTGTGTCCCACGTACTAAAAGCTGTGGGAATCGCTGTCCTCCCTTACATTCAACCTCCAGGCTTCAAACATGTCCTCACCATTCGCACCTCAAAGCATATTATCAAGAATGCATTGTCAATTTCGTTCTTTTTGGTTCATTAATTTTTTTTTTCGTTTTCAGATTTATCATCTCGGGAAGTGGAAATGCTGTTTGACAAAATAGCTGACCCAAAATTCCCGAAATATCAGATGGACATAGCAGCACGCAGTGTCAGCTATGAAAAGGTTCTGGAATACAGAAATCTGCAAGGCTTCAATGTTCTTCAACATGCAGCCTACTACAATAACCACGTGGCCATGTACACCCTTTGGAGGCATTTCGACTGGGAACAACTCTCGGGGCAAAAAGTGAGCGGTCACAATGACTTCGCCGGCTGTACAGCCCTCGAAATCGCCGAGAAGAAAAAGTATGAACAATCGGTAAAAAGGATTAAAGATTTCAACAAGGACGAATCCAACCTTAAAAATATACACAAAATGGTGCGGGCGAGAGAAATCCATAAGATAGAGGAAATTTGCAATCAGGACAAGACGGCCATAGGGGTTCCTACAGATGACGATCTTCAACTTACACCTCTGCACATAGCTGCAGGGATTGGGTTTTTGGAAGGTGTTATTCTCCTGCTAAACCTCGGTGCCGACATAAATGCCGTGACTGCTTTCGGTGAAACTGCTCTCAGAAGAGCTTCGCGATTGGGCTACGAAGACGTGGTGAAGTACCTCGTGACAAGGAACAACTGTGATCTCTCCAAAGCCGCAAAAGATTGCTATACAAGTCTAGAGCTGGCGTCTCTCCACAACTTTGGTGGTGTCGTTAGAGCTCTTGCAGAAAATGGAGCCCAGGTCACCCCAAATGCTTTGTGTTGTGCAGCTTCTGAAGGCCACCTTAGCTTGCTAGAAAACATGATTTGCGAATGTGGCGCAGACCCTAAAGGTGTGAACAAGCACGGCAAAAACTGTTTCCACTGTGCCGCAAGTAATGGGAAAATCGACATCTTGGAGAAGCTTCTTCAGATAGATCTAGGTTTGCTTGAGACACGCACCCTAATATGTGAAGGTGACATGCTTTATCTTGTCCGAGGTAAGGATAAAAACAAACCTGCATGGCATTACGTTCTCGTTAAAAGGCGACTTCACTCAACTTTCATCTTAAAGACACAGGGAGGTTCCCTTGATGTGGCCGACTATGGGCGTGTACTGAAATCTGGCTGGGGCCAAGACCCACCTGAAGATACCAAGACCAAAATTAATGAGGAACACTCGACAATACGGGAGGACGCCCAAAAGGACATGTCAGCTTTACACTGCGCAGTAATGGAAGAACAGCTAATAGCAGTCCAAAAGCTCGTCGAACTTGGAGCGGATGTGGATGCCCGTGATGCTTACAAGCTAACACCCCTTCATCTCGCATGCATGAGAGGAAATGTACCTATCGTAAAAGAACTCTTGAAGGCCAATGCCAACTTTCAAGTCTTTGACGAAGACAGGAAAAGTCCTTCCGACGTTGCTCGGGATAACAACCACAAAGTGGTCGTAGAGTTGTTGGCCAAAAAAGAAAGTGCAGGTTTAGTTGAGGTTAGTATAAAAAAGGAAAAAATCCATTTCGGTGAGCTCGTACGCGCAGATGTAATCTCTATATGTTACTACTTTATTCCAGTAAAACGTTTTTCTTGAAAATAAAAATCCCATGGCAATGATTAAATTTTATAGGTGAATCTCAATATACGGTCCATCTTGAAACCTTCCCTAAAACAAGGAGTTATAACAGTTATAACTCCTTGCCTAAACTTAGCAAAAGTGTGTTTATAATTTTTTACGTTTAACAACCTGCGCATTTTCATTCCCAGAGGTTCATCCTTGACCAACTGCAAACTCTGCAGGTCTTGTTGGAGAAGACAGATGACGACAGCATCTCATCCGGGGATTTTCAAAAGCAGCTGATTAATGAAGGTGATACAAAATAAATCAATATACGTCTTAAAATCAAATTCATTTCGCACAACCATGCAGTATGCTAAAAAAAATCCCCTTTCGCTTGCAACTGGAAAAGCACTCTACTGTCTTTTTTTTTTTAAGTAAATCTGGTGATGTTTTATATAATCAATTTTAAAACGAAAACTTAAGTCTACACTACTGAATGTAGGCTTCGAATGTTTAAACCCCTTTCGCTTTCATCCGGAAAGTACTCTACTGTCTTTAATTTTTTTAACAAGTCAATTTCATGATGTGTAATATAATTAATTTGAAAACGAAAACTTAATTTTTGCACTACTGATGGTAGGCTTTGAATGTTTATCCTTTATTTTTGCCACAAACGATATTCAACTTTACGCGTCGCTGTGATAATACTGAATCAGTCCATGTAATCAAGTCACATTTTATCTTTTTTTAACTTGAATAAGAATTAAACTTCGTATTCCCTTTCAGTCCAAACCCTGAAGGATAATGCCACGCTGTATCTGAGCGATCTGGCCCCCAAAGAGGTAGATCCAGCAGAGGAATCCGTGCAGCCCCTCTCTGTCGCTCCTCCCGATAGTCCTGAAGCTGCCGCGTCTTCCACGGAAACTCCAGCTGCTGTCCCTGATGGAGAAAGCGCTGATAATAATAATATCACCAGTACCAGTGAAAACGAGATCGAGGGAAATGAGAATGATAGTAATGTGAATAGAAATGAAAACGAGGTCTTGTCAGAGGAAGTCACCCCACCGCGTCCGAATGACAGGTCGGACCGCATCATTGGGGATTCTCTCCAGAGGCTACTTGAGACCTACCTTCAGCAGCAATGAGAAGGAAATTCCTACACTGTTTAAAATCATATACTTTTCAACAAGGTCCATTAATACAATAGCAGTCTAGATTTCACTTTGTGTAATCCGTCAGATATGTAAAGTTACATCCAAAATCTCAACTGACAAGGTATTTAACATAAGGCCACACTCCTGTAATGCGCTTTGATTTTTGTCTGTTCTGTAAAAAATCAGTCGCATTGTTTGTGTAATACACTGCATCGTACGGACGTCGCATGGCAAATGTAATCTAGGCTTCAAGAACACAATAACCAAGATGTTTAGATATAAAAATAATTAAACAGAGGTAAAGATTTAAGATAAAAAAAACAGCCTAATACTCACATAAAAAAACAATTACAGGTAAGATAATCAATAATCAAATGTTCTAAAAAAAGAATTCATTTTCAATAAATGCTGTTGTTTGGAGAAAATTATTGTGACGGACTCGGAACTTCTGCTCATTTTATGCACGTAGTCATGATAAGCAATGGTACTGAGCATCAAGTTTTCAGTGTTGACATACATTCTGTTACCAGTCTGGTTGAATCTGCTTTTTTTCAGGCAAATTTAATTGTCTCACAATAAAACTAACTAACTAACTAGATCCGCCCCCACAATGACTTGATGATAATCCCATGCAACTTACTTGCATCATGTGATAGCTGAAATAGGTGTAAGATGTTCTCGAGTATATAAGTATTTGGAAATCTTTTTATCTCTATAGCGTACTGTTTTAGGGTATACTTTTAATAGCATATTACAATTTACATATGGATTAATGAAGTGGGCAGTGCCCCATACCCCCTGGTTCTTGCTCATACATGTATGACTGAATCAAGGGCGGATCCAGGATAATTTGAAGGCGCCCCCCCCCCCCCCACCCCTCGTGGTGTGGAGTTTGGGGCCTGCCGAAGGGCACGAAAACTTTTGGTATTTTAGAGGACTGACAGTGCCATTTGGTACGGTTTAGAACAATGATTTAGCTCGTCAAAATATTAATTTTAAGAGGGGACCATTGGTGTAATTTTTTTTAGAAGTCGAAGGGCGACCCCCCTGACACCTCCCAAATCCGCCGATGTGAATTAAAACGCTGCAGGGGCTAAGGCCTAACCCCCCTTCCCCAGGCCTACTTCCCACAACCAGTTAAAGTACTTGAACTTATAAATCGCAATAAAAAAATAGTTGTACTGAACGGCCCCTTTAGACAGGATCATTATTATTTATACATAAATAAGGAAAGAAGCAAACTGACCTTAAAATAGTATGAGTCATTGGTATAATATTCTCGCATAATTACCACCTGTGTCAGTTTTAAAATGCGTCTTTCAGGTCTCTAATCTAGAGAAATAAGAAATGGGTTTTGTCAACAGGTACACCTGAGAAGATCGGAATATCAGTAATCTTGGATTCTTTCTCTTGAGGAATGACTATGTAATATGAATATAAATAAAATTGCACGTAGCATCCAACAAGAGAAACAGGCAATGTCACCCAAACCCAAAATAGAGATGCAAATGATGTCACCGGCATGATCTTAAAAATATATAGTGCACATTACAACATGCAATGAAATAATGTAAATTGATTTCATGGCAGATTTTGTACAAGCTGTCAACCAATATGTCTTAATGTAAAATATAATACAACAAGCCTGATATTTCACAGATAACAGTGTGCCCC